GAAGAGATCTTATTCACAGATCCTACACTCAGAGAACTTACTGTCTAGTAGGGGAGTTGTTATAAATATTTATAATCAAAAACAGAGCACCATGTGTAGTCACACATGCCTGTAATCCCAGCACTTGAGAGACTGAGACACGAGGATCGCTGCATGTTTGAGGCTACACTCTGCTACTTGAAGGCCAGTTGGTACTAGTGAGCAGACTGTTTCAAAGAAAGCAAGCAAGCGTGCACACATGCAGGCATGCACACATGCACACACATTAGCATGGATTTGCTTACTAGGTAGTCAACAGTTTTAAGATCACTTATATTACATTTAAAAACTATTCCCTAAAATTGGTCTCTTAAACCAGGCATGATGGCACATGCCTGTAACACAGTGCTCAGTAAAGGGTTAAAAAAAAAAAAAATAGGGAAGTGTTATAACATAGGTGATAAAGAATTAACTGAGCTCATGAGCAGAAAACTCCAAAAGTACACAAGGAAAATGATACAGTAGAGCCCACTCTCACTTACTCAGCCTTGACAACTAAGCTCAAATATCCCATCATACCTCTCATCAAAATTCATGTAAGTGCTAAAAGGTGTAAACTGGGCAGGTGGCACATGCCTGTAATTCCAGCACCAGGGAGGCTGAGGTAGGAAGATCACTGTGAGTTTGCAAACACCCTGGGCTACAAAGTGAGCTCAAGGCAGGCCTGAACTGAACGAGATCAGAGTCTCACACCTAGCTGCACACTTTCGGCACATGCCACATTTTGTGTTCTTTTTCTGTTCTAAATGTTTTTTTGCTAAAACTCCAATGCTTCTTGTCAGAATAACTAATGCTGTTTTACATACCAGTTAGAAGAATCAGTCTCTGTTGCAGCTATGCCAGGGCATTTCCCCCCCATTTGCATTTCCGTTTGGGGAGGGCACTGACACTGGGGACAGAACCCTGGGCTACATCACCAGACCTTTTTCTATTTTTTAATTTTGAGACAAGTTCTTATTAAGTTGCTCAGTTATTTAGGCATGGCTCAAACTTGCAGTCTTCCTGCCTCAGTTTCCCAGAATTGTAGGATTAAGGGAGTGTGGCAACACACCCAGTCCATATGTGTATTTCCAATGTGGGTCACAAGAAACTGAGAATCCTTTAACACAAATTTTACCTGTTCTTTTTTTCCTTTCAAATGACATGGACTACATCAGTACAAAGCTTGCCTATGTTGAATCACAGGCCCAAAAAAACCCATTTCACTTCTTACTTCACAAATGAGGAAAATAACAAATTGCCCAGGGTAATCCAACCAATAGCACAGAACTACAACTTGAATCCTGGTTGTACGCCTCCAAAACTAAGGAGAAAGACAAGTAGCGATAAACAAGGTGACTTCAGGTAGTGTGAGACACAAACACGTATAAATGGGCAGGTACGCAAGGGACTCAAGCTTGAGAAACAGCGCACTACATCTGTCTCTTTCTAACTGAAGGATTAAATAACAGTGCACAGGGCATTAAAGAAAGATCTCTTCCTTTCTCAGTCTCCCTCCCTCCCTGAATGGCTGAGTGACAAACATAGGACCCAGCTTATGCTAAACTGAGTCACAACACTCCCAACCCCTTTCTGATTCTTCTACTTCATTTCTGTCTTACTGTATTGGCTAGGACCTCCAGTACAATAATGAATTTTAAAAGCCACAACTGATGTACCCTTATCAAATTCTAGAATGCTTCTAAATGTTCACTTTTTTTTTTTTTTTTTTTTTTTGAGACAGGGTCTCACTAGTTTAGGCTGGCCTTGAACTCACAGCAATCTTCCAGCCTCACCAAGTATCCTTTTGTTTAGATTACTAGTAGATAGCCTGGTTTTTTGTTTGTTGTTTTGAGTGTATGGAAACCTTATTCCTAGACATGATCTCACAATATATCCCAGGCTGGTCTCAGACTTGCAATCCACCTGGTTTAGTCTCCCCAGTACTGGGATTACAAATACCACCCTTGACCAACTCGGAAAGTTCGAGTTTTTTGTTTTGTTTTGTTTTGTTTCTTTAAATTTAAACTGATCTTTGACCAACCCTTTCTTCTCCTCCAAGCTGTGTTCCACTCTTCCCTGATCTTTCTCTCATTCCAGAGTACCTTAAAGTACTACTTCTCTAGCTCTAATTAACAGACTCTGATATTCTGAGAATTCCACACTCTTCTGTTGTTTCAATTCTCTGGATCAAAACGTTTCTAAAATTGAAAGAAAATCCTAAAAGACTTTTGATCACATGCGGATCATTCTTTCTATCTCTTAAACATACTCTTCCTTTCTTTAAAATAAAAACAAGTTTAAAAAAAAGGGTTTAAAAAAATTGTGTTAACTTATTGTGCCGCTGAGTGCTACAACGAGCCTGGTTTTTTAAATGGCTTGGGAGAAACTCCAAGATTTTGAAGTTTTAAGAAAAGCGGCTGGATCCAGACGTTTATACTTTTACTGTCTCCTTTGCTAAACTGAAAAATACTAAAGAGAAAAAGGAAAAAAAATACGCATAATATTTATAGGCAAATAAGGTACCTCTCCAGTAAAGGGGTGGGGAGGCAATCCAACCAAGTTATGAATTCTCTCATTAATTTTTCTTTCTAAACAAAAGGGCACAATTCTTCCCCAGACAGCAACAGCAAAGGGAGCAGCCAAAAATGTTGCATCATATGAAACACTCCGCGCTAGATCAACAAGAAAACCAGATGGTGGTAAAATACCTAACATAGGAAAACCCCAGCTGGGAATCTCGGTCTCTTCCCGACCCCCAAGAGCGGCTGGCTGCCCTTTTGTACTTTTTAAAGTCTGCATCGAAAACTGAAAGTTTCGGTTTCGGAGTAGCGGACTCAGGACTCCTTCCACGCGCGTCCTAAGTTCGGGGCCACCTCGGACGCTGGGCTTGGGCCGGGGCAACGGCTGCCGGCGCCGACGCGGCCGGAGAGCCGAGGGTGGGGCGGGGGCGGGACCCAGCTCGCCCCGGCCCGCTGCCCGCCCGAGCCCGCGCGCCAGAGACGCCCGCCGCCGCCGGACCCTTCGCCCTGCCCGAAGAGGCGGGAAGGCGCGGTGGCCTCGAGACAATGGCCCGGGGCGCCGCGCTCTCAAAGGCATGTCGTGGGCACCGCGTGCGACGCTTCGGGGACGCCCGCGGACGCCGCCCTGTTAGGCCGAGCGGGCGCGAAGACTCGGCGCGACGAGACGGCAGGCGAGAGCTCACCTTGACGAAGAGCTCGATGAGGGGCTCTTTGTCCTCCTCCTTCAGCCCGTTCAGTGGCATCGATAACGCCATGACCGGCTCGGCAGGGCTCCGTGGACGGCGGCGCGACCGCTACTTCAGCTCCGGGGCTGTGTTGGCTGCCGGCTCCCGCCGCGCTGCGCTGCGCTCGCTGGACAGTCCCGGCTTCGAGCTGGCCGCAGCCGCGACTACTCAGCTCCGCTCCACGCTCCGCGCGCGACTCGGAGGCGGCTGCAGCTAGAGCCGCTTCAAGCTGCGGGGCGGGGCTCGGGGGGCGGGGCTTCGGCTGGGGGCGGAGCCAAGACTAGTCTCGGGACTCTCCACGGGAAACGGCCGAGCGGGCTCAAGGGGGCGGGGCTCGTGGAGGGGTGGGGCTTAGGGCGGGGCGGAGGGCCCAGGACCAGTGGGGGCGGGGCTTAGTCTTGGTGGGCGTCACCGAGCCCTAACTCCTTCAACCCACCCTTCCGAGGGGGCGGAAGGGAAATTCCCCGATCCCCGGGGTCCGGCGCCTGACACCGCCTCTCTCCGCAGCGCCGGCGCGTCCTCCGCAGCTGCTGCTGCTGGTAAGATGCCAGGTGACCTCATGCCTCGACCAGCCTGGGGAGGCGAGGCGGCGCCTCCTGCCCTCTCCTCCGCTGCAGCCTCAGGACGCATCGCCCTTTCCCGCAGTAGCCACCTCCCGAAAGAGCTCTGTTAGGCGGGACTGCCTTTTCCGGAAAAACTTTTCCAAAAGCGTTCATCTTCTCCTGTGAAATGCCTTCCTTTTTTTCTTCTTCCTCTGACTTCGTTTCTCCTCCTTTGACTTCGACTCTTCTACAGTGGCAGCTACCATATTCGCAAATACTTATGAACTGCGTTCCGAGCTCTGAGCTAGGCAATAAGCAAAGGAACCGGCTCCTTCTCCAGCCCCAGAACTTAAATCTGGAGCGACGCCCCTTTGCCTGAAGCCTACTCGGACCCTCTGAGCTGGGTGTTTTCCTTCCTGGACAGACTGTTTCCGTTCACCTGGCAAATGACAGCATCCAGTCAAAGGAGGTGGCTGCACACCGACTTGTTCTACAAGATTCTGTGGAAGAAAAAGATTCACATTTTAACCCGCAAGCGGACAGTTCTGAAGGATGTGGGCCTCTAAACGGAAAAAGCTGCCCAGAACCCTAAGGCCCTGAGGGTGGGTGGTAGTCATCTGGGCCTCCCTGGGTTACTGTTGATGCCTGGGGGAAGTGTCACCTTTGGAAACTTACTTGTGCCCTCATCTGACTTGAGCACCTGACTTGCAGAAAAAAATGAAAGCAGAGGAAGAAGAAAAATAAGAATTTCAAAAGAGATGAACTTTTTTGCCAGGTTTGATTGATTCCTGAAGTCCCCTACAGCCAAAGAGGGACTAGGGCGGCCAGGGAGATAGCTTAGTGGAATAAGCGCTTCCCTGGCAAGCACAAGGGCCTGAATTCAATCCCCGGTTCCG